TATGGGGTATGTTAAACCTTGCAAGACCTGATATATGGGGTATATTAAATCTTTCAAGTCCTGATATAGGGGTATATTAAACTTTGCAAGTCCTGACATATGGGGTATATTAAATCGTTCAAGTCCTGATATATGGAGTATATTAAATCTTTCAAGACCTGATATAGGGGTATATTAAACCTTGCAAAACCTGATATATGGAGTATATTAAATCTTGCAAGACCTGATATAGGAGGTATATTAAACCTTGCAAGACCTGAGTTAGGGTGTATATTAAACCTTGCAAGACCTGATATAGGGGTATATTAAACCTTGCAAGACCTGATATAGGAGGTATATTAAACCTTGCAAGACCTGAGTTAGGGTGTATATTAAATCTCTCAAGTCCTGATATATGGGTATATTAAACCTTACAAGACCTGATATATGGAGTATATTAAATCGTTCAAGTCCTGATATATTGGGTATATTAAACCTTGCAAGACCTGAAAAAAGGGGCACATACAACTCTGCAAGTCCTGAGATAGAGTACATAAAACCCAACAAGACCAGAGACAGGGGGATTTATAAAACATATAACTCCCTTCGTAGGAATTCATTTAAAAAACAAAATGGAACAAGCAATCATACCCTTTCAATAAAGGCGGTGAATGGTCCGGGCGTGTCCCTCTGTCTAAGTAATCGCCCATTTCGTTCCTCGAGTTATCTTACCTCAGGTATTTGAAACATTAAACAAAAGGTACCAAGTATTCCTTCACTTGTTTTAAAATCGCTGTATGTTATACTAGTGTCTTGTTATCCGATATAAGCAACATCACTTGTGAAGAATGTAAAAATAACTGAACTGTAGGTGGGAGGTATTAGTTTAACAGCTTACAGGATATAAATCTTCAATTATTTATAAGCTAAAGTAGTAACTATTTTATAATATCCAGTAATTGCATATTGAGAAATCAGACTCTAACGTTCGGCTTTGCTACTTTCAGCCACCAGTTTATGCACTCCAGTATTGGTTCAAAACCGCTGATCTATACATCAGGGTTCAGAACATGCGCATTTGTGCTGCCATCTAGTGAGTATGAAATACAATATTAATCTCGACATCTTCTGATCCAATATCATATTTAACAAACACAAATAAAAAACACTCTGTCAGAGTTAAAAAAATAGTTTACATTAAAATATTTATTCAGTGGATAAAAATACCCAGAATAAAAACATAAAATAAGCTTAAATTAATAATGCTTTGTAAAATATACAAAATATTAGTTACAGTTTAGGGAAAATCTTTCAGTAATTTTCACGAACTACACGTATTTTACTTGGAATATCATTGAAAATTTTATTAAGAGGGTACACGAGTGAATAACAACAAAGACAGAGATTTCCAGACACGTGTATGAGAAACAATGGATGAGTGCTTTTATTGTAAAACATTCATAGAATACTTTGAAAGTCCAAGAAGATCTCTCCAATTACAAGTGAAGACTCTCTGACTGGAAGAGATTGTAGTGGTTTCCAATTACAAGTGAAGACTCTCCAACTGGAAGAGGTTGTAGTGGTTCCAATTACAAGTGAAGACTCTCCAACTGGAAGAGGTTGTAGTGGTTCCAATTACAAGTGAAGACTCTCCGACTGGAAGAGGTTGTAGTGGTTCCAGTTACAAGTGAAGACTCTCCGACTGGAAGAGGTTGTAGTGGTTCCAGTTACAAGTGAAGACTCTCCGACTGAAAGAGATTGTAGTGGTTCCAATTACAAGTGAAGACTCTCCGACTGGAAGACGTTGTAGTGGTGACTGGGTCTTTCTCTTCCAGTGTTGTAACATAAGATGGAAATTGATAAGGTAACATTTTAGTAGTAGGGGGTTCAGTCTGGACAAGAAGAGGGTATATCGCTTCATTTACTTCAATTTGTCCTCAGCTATATCACTGTCCCCTTCCATTTGTTTGGTCTCCATCTGGTGATTCAGGCTCAATGTTGAAATCATTGAAGAGATCTAATTTTACTATGGTAAAATATTAACCAGCTCTAATTTTATAAAGTTATGATGTAAAGCACTATGGTTAAAATAATAAATCGTTTTAATTCTAAGCAGTTACGATGTAAAGTGCAAACACACTGTAAACTATAAAAATACAGCATAAGGTCAAGTATAACACTAGTTGTATTGTCTCTTTCTACAGAGTAACACTAGGGATTATGTCACTGTAAAATATAATAAAAATACAGCATAAGGTCAAGTATAACAATAGTTGTATTGTCTCTGTCTACAGAGTGACACTGTGAATTATGTCACTGTAAACTATAAAAATACAGCATAAGGTCAAGTATAACAATAGTTGTATTGTCTCTGTCTATAGAGTGACACTGTGGATTATGTCACTGTAAACTATAAAAATACAGCATAAGGTCAAGTATAACACTAATTGTATTGGCTGAAAGACATAATTAAAAATTGTGACTCAATTACAATACCCTACAAACAGTTAAATATTGAAAAAAGTAAACTTCTGAATTAACAGAGTTTAATGAAGATTACACAAGAGTCTAAAGTTCATTAATAAAATAGTTTGTATTGTATGAAACTTTTCTTTTTCGGTAAAGCAGAAAGTTGTTTTGTAAACCATTAACCAAATATTATCTTTCAATTTTTACATTTTTAACCTGAGGTTTTAGGTTTCGTAGTGTATTTCTACACATATTTTGCTGGCTAGCCAATTACAATGGTTTTGTATCAAAATCAATAAGCTGAACTAAGATTTGATTTTGTTTTAAACAATTTTAACAAATGCCTAGCTGCCAACCTGTTAGAAAATCTGTTGTCAGACACGATTTTTTTTATCAAGAACAAAACTTTCTCTATTGAACCACAAGTAAAAAAGAAAATTCAACCAACCAACCAAATTCAATGTAAGGTGTTATCTGAACATATGATTATAAAACATGCAGGTTCTAATTCACCATTAACATGTTTTGAAGCTAAAACCAATGCCAACATATTCATTACATTCAACTTTGTAACTTTTTTTTTGTTACAAACAACAAATAGTATAATTTTAATGGTTGAAGACGGCTTGAATGGGTAATGAATAAAAACTTTAATATAAGTTTAAAATAACAGCAAATGTACAACGCTTCAACAAGGTTTTGTCATCATCAAAACGTTGTACATTTGCCATTATGTTAAACTTATATTAAAGTTTTTATTCATTACCCATTCAAGCCGTCTCCAACCATTATTGGTCTCAAAGTGGGTTCCTCGTCATCGAAATAGTATACTTTGCAAAAAAAAAAAAATTTATAAGTAAATAAGACTAAGATTTATTTAGTACACATACATACATATATATATATATATATAATTCTACAAAATCTATATTCCATATAAACGTAGTTTTAAGATTATATAAATATATTTGTAGCTTCTCAAACTAGGGTTTTTGGACCAGTGGTGAGTGAACGTATTTTCTAAACATACACTTTGTTGCACCCCTCCCCCCCAAACCCTGTATAACATATTGTGTATTTAATATAGCTATTATTTTCACACATTAATTGTTATTACTCTATTACTTAACAGTAGTAATATTTGTATGGTAGTTTTTAAGATGTCTTTACTTTTAAGTTGTAATTTCATACATGTTTCTATAGTCATAGTTACACACACTTCTTGGAGGCTGTACCCCACAGTTTGTGCAGCATGGCTCTAGATGATAGCCAATTTGAATATTTTTGTCTACTATAAACAAAATGCATAGTCATTTATACAAATGAACAAACAGATCATAGGTTTGGAACAGAGATCCATATCAGGATTAGTGTGTGATATTCATATCATTTCAAACCTTACAATAATACAGTTGAATCTTTACTGTTAAAGTCTTACAATAATACAGTTAAATCTTTACAGTTAAAGTCTTATAATAATACAGTTAAATCTTTACAGTTAAAGTCTTACAATAATACAGTTAATTCTTTACAATTAAAGTCTTACAATAATACAGTTAAATCTTTACTGTTAAAGTCTTACAATAATACAGTTAAATATTTATAGTTAGTCTCACAATAATACAGTTAAAGTCACACAATAATACAGTTAAATCTTTATAGTTAGTCTCACAATAATACAGTTAAAGTCTCACAATAATACAGTTAAATCTTTACAGTTAACGTGTCACAATTATACAGTTAAAGTCTTACAATAATACAATTAAATCTTTACAGTTAAAGTCTTAAAATTATACAGTTAAAGTCTTACAATAATACAGTTAGATCTTTACAGTTAGTCTCACAATAATACAGTTAAAGTCTTACAATAATACAATTAAATCTTTAGAGTTAAAGTCTTACAATAATACAATTAAATCTTTACAGTTAGTCTCACAATAATACAGTTAAAGTCTTACAATAATACAATTAAATCTTTAGAGTTAAAGTCTTACAATAATACAATTAAATCTTTACAGTTAAAGTCTTACAATAATACAGTTAAATCTTTACAGTTAGTCTCACAATAATAC